ACAATGCCTCATACTAGGTCAGTGTATACTGTATACTATATAATGCTTCATAAAAGTCAGTGTATACACCTATATATTATAATGCTTCATAGTAAGTCAGTGTATACACCTATATATTATAATGCTTCATAGTAAGTCAGTGTATACACCTATATATTACAATGTCTCATACTAGGTCAGTGCATGTACTGTATACTATTATAATGCTTCATAGTAAAGTCAGTGTGTACACCTATATATTATAATGCTTCATAGTAAGTCAGTGCATGTTACCTATATATTATAATGCTTCATAGTAAGTCAGTGTATACACTATATATTATAATACTTCATAGTAAGTCAGTGCATACACCTATATATTACAATGCCTCATACTAGGTCAGTGCATACTGTATACTATTATAATGCTTCATAGTAAGTCAGTGTATACACCTATATATTATAATGCTTCATAGTAAGTCAGTGTGTACACCTATATATTATAATGCTTCATAGTAAGTCAGTGTATACACCTATATATTACAATGCCTCATACTAGGTCAGTGCATACTGTATACTATTATAATGCTTCATAGTAAGTCAGTGTATACACCTATATATTATAATGCTTCATAGTAAGTCAGTGTATACACCTATATATTATAATGCTTCATAGTAAGTCAGTGTATACACCTATATATTACAATGCCTCATACTAGGTCAGTGCATACTGTATACTATTATAATGCTTCATAGTAAGTCAGTGTATACACCTATATATTACAATGCCTCATACTAGGTCAGTGCATACTGTATACTATTATAATGCTTCATAGTAAGTCAGTGTATACACCTATATATTATAATGCTTCATAGTAAGTCAGTGTATACACCTATATATTATAATGCTTCATAGTAAGTCAGTGTATACACCTATATATTATAATGCTTCATAGTAAGTCAGTGTATACACCTATATATTACAATGCCTCATACTAGGTCAGTGCATACTGTATACTATTATAATGCTTCATAGTAAGTCAGTGTATACACCTATATATTACAATGCCTCATACTAGGTCAGTGCATACTGTATACTATTATAATGCTTCATAGTAAGTCAGTGTGTACACCTATATATTATAATGCTTCATAGTAAGTCAGTGTATACACCTATATATTATAATGCTTCATAGTAAGTCAGTGTATACACCTATATATTATAATGCTTCATAGTAAGTCAGTGTATACACCTATATATTACAATGCCTCATACTAGGTCAGTGCATACTGTATACTATTATAATGCTTCATAGTAAGTCAGTGTATACACCTATATATTATAATGCTTCATAGTAAGTCAGTGTGTACACCTATATATTATAATGCTTCATAGTAAGTCAGTGTGTATATTATAATTTACTTTACTTTCATCCTCTTCACCACTGATCGGCTCGTTAGCCGCTTGGGCGATTGGTCACGTCTCTGTTACTCACTGTTAGCAAGTACTGGGCATGCATCGGCTCCTGAATGTACAATGAAAGACAAAATTCATGTCGTGAAATTTGGTGAAAACAATTGCCAAATTCCAAAGGGCTAAACCTTTGGTGCGCTCTGCCTTGTGTTAGGGCTCTCATGATGTTTCACGAGTTATATTTAATCTTCGGACAAAACCGTGACACGACTTTGTCTTTGATTACCTGAACCTGCTCCAGTGTTGGTCAAGTCTGGTCTTGAAACAGCTCACACTCGGTGCCATCACAACACTCTCTGGCAGGTTGTTCCAACAGTTCACAACTCTCACTCCGAAAAAGTTTGCCCTCACAGTTTTCTGGACTTTTTTTTTTTTTTACACGGGGATTAACCCACCCGGGCACAGGTCACTGGCCCACATCAGGGCCCGGGGGGCGAAAATGTAATAATAATAATAATTCATAGTAAATAAAATTTATAATAAAAAGTAAAATAAAATATTAATGGTAATAATAATAATAACAACAGTGATAATAATAAATACAAAGAAATGCAAGAATGAAAAAAGTCAACAGTGAGACACGCTATATAAGTATGTTGTTTTGTCATGTAATAGAAACAATTAAGACCCTACAATTGTGTGTTAATGAGGCAGAAAGTCAGATCAGCAACCTGGTCACGTATGGCAGCAGGGTCTACCATTAGACAACACATTAAGCTTCCAATATCTTCCCAGGCAGTAGTACCTCCCTGTTTGGTAGCTGCCTACTACCTACGATCTTCAATCTTGAGCTGTGACCCCTTGTGGGGCGAGCGTCCGCCAGCTCCAGGTCAGGACACTCGACTGAGTAGTGCCCCTTGAGATGTTTATACACCTCAACTAGGTCCACCCTTGCCCGTCTGTAGTATAAGCTAGGCAAGTTCAGGCGCTCCAATCTCTCATGGTAGTTGAGGTGCCGTAGTTCAGGCACCAGTCTGGTGGCCCTCCTTTGAACATTGTCAACCAACTGACAGTCCCTAGCATATCTCGGGGACCAGACGGGGTGACAGTACTCCAGATGGGGAAGTACTTCACTCTTGAAGATCGTTACGAAGGACGGATCGTCTAGATATCTGAACGACCTTCTTATAAGACCCAATAATTTATTTGCCTGATTTACCTTCTTCTCACAATGGCCCGAGAACTTCAGCTCATTGTCAACATACACACCTAGGTCCTTCTCACATTCAGTCTCAACTAGTGCAGTTTCTTCATCCCATTGGGACATATGATACGCCTCCTTACCGTTGGTATGCCCCAGGTGCATCCTCTTACACTTCGTGACATTGAATCTCAGCAGCCATTTCTTCGACCATTCTTGGAGCCCACAGAGGTCCTTCTGCAGCTCTTCACAGTCCGCTGGGTTCTTCATTTCCCTAAATAACTTGGCGTCATCGGCAAACATTTGTATGGAGGAGTGTACGTCAGGCATGTCATTTGTTGACAGCAATTCTATAAAGTGCAGTGAGTGTGGAAGGTTGGTACAGTGTTAAGTGTTCTCTATATGTGCAGGTAACTATGTGTCCATATCAAGGCTGGACGGTGTTGATGAGTTCTGTTACCTGGGGACATGATCAGTGCTGGTGCTGAGTCACAAGTGGCTGCTGCCTTTATTGATGACAAGAGGACCTTCCCTGTAAAGAAGGATCTTGGTGTTCCCTCAATACATTACCAGATCCTTTTATGGTTGATGGTCACCACTAATGAATATCACTCAATATTTTTCTTTATTCCCATGTGACTCTGATACTCTTTTGTTGGTGTTCCACTCTGTTGATATTTTCACTCAATGTGGCACTAATTAGAGTACTGTAGTCTCTCCTGCAAGAGTTCACTGCCCACTTCACATAGTTCAGTGTGAAATATCCTGAATGAAGGATTTTTTATAGGGCCCGGCAGTGGCTCGTCTACATGTTCTTCAGCTGCAGTTAACCCCAAGACAGCTTTTAATACTTGTCTGGGAACATCTATATAATTGAACTAGATCAGCTCTTAGGAAACTTCTGAAAAATTTGAGGTTGTAGAGCAGTCAAAGAGGAAACATTTGGTCCAAGTAAATTGATATAACCTTTGATTGGTGACCCAGCAGAGGTGATTATGGCGGGGATCGTGAAAAAAAACACGCACACGCACACACACACACACACACACACACACACACACTGGGGACACATTACTCCCATCTTTCACTCTTTATGTTACCATTTAATTCACTCCTACAATATTCAGACTCCTGCACATAATAACAACTATCATTTACGTCAACAAGATAAAAATTGACCATATTTACCACTTTTATGGTTCAATGGGTGGGGCAGCCTCACCACTCATTGCCACACTCCACATCTTTAAGAAAATATTTTAACCATCCTTCCCATATGACATCAAGAGGGTAACTGAGACTTCCTACTGCATGACAACCACTCCAGTGATGTTTCTCGGGACGGACTTCTCACCCAAACATGTCGGCCACATTAATATCACACCACACAGCTGCCTGGAACAGTCTAAGGGTTAAGTGTGTAAACAGCAGGTGTCAGAAACAAGCGAGATATCACAGGTTAAAATTAAAATAATAAACATAAACTTTATATGAATATTTGTATCTTTTTATTGTATACAGTCTGGTCTTTCTGCCATAAAAATCTATCTTCACAGGTTAGGTTAGGTTTTAATTTTGGTGTCTCTTTACATTAAATAGCTACTAATACATCAAAGCTTCAGGATTAGTCTTCCTGCCACTACAGATCTGATAAATAAAAATTATCCACAAATAAAAACTTTACCATTACAAATTATCAGAAATAAATCAACTTATAGACCAAAATAAGTCCTTTACGTTGACCTTCTTCCTCACAGCACTGATGGGCTGACTTGTGTATGTACGACGACAACAGTAGGCTATATGACGAGCCCCTGTAAACACACCAGTGAAGGGGACTGTACCTAGGCTATATGACGAGCCCCTGTAAACACACCAGTGAAGGGGACTGTACCTAGGCTATATGACGAGCCCCTGTTAACACACCAGTGAAGGGGACTGTACCTAGGCTGTGAGCCCCTGTAAATGCACTAGTGAAGGGGACTGCCTAGGCCTATGTGAGCCCCTGTAAGCGCTAGTGAAGAGGACTGTACCTAGGCTATATGACCAGCCCCTGTAAATGCACTAGTGAAGGGGACTGTACCTAGGCTATATGACGAGCCCCTGTAAACGCACTAGTGAAGAGGACTGTACCTAGGCTATATGACGAGCCCCTGTAAACACACCAGTGAAGGGGACTGTACCTAGGCTATATGACGAGCCCCTGTAAACACACCAGTGAAGGGGACTGTACCTAGGCTATATAATGAGCCCCTGTAAACACACCAGTGAAGGGGACTGTACCTAGGCTATATGACGAGCCCCTGTAAACACACCAGTGAAGGGGACTGTACATGTTCAGTCATTACCCTCTCTATGAGGAAGAGTTTAAAGTTGGATTCTGGGGATGTTTAAAGGAAAGCACAATTGTAATCTATTGAGCACTTTACCCATCACATCTTAAACTTGTATTTTATTTTTAAATCTTTGACCGTTGATAAATATTAACAAAAGCATAAATCCCAAGTATCACAAAATGGTAATGTTTTCCTCATATAAGCAGCCATCTTTATGACACATTATTTCATCCGGGTTGATTAAAATTTGTGGGCCGGCGGCACAAGACACAGGTTTATAACTGACCATAGGCTTCCTTACAACTGCAATGGTGAATGAAATAAAAAACTTGTCTAAGGGATCCTTCACAAGTTCCAATAAAATAAAAAGAACAGCTTTAAGTTTAATGAACTGTTAAAAGTAATGATTAAAACACAATAAAAATAGTGATTCCTCCCACAACAAATGAGAACCAAGAGTCAACAATTATAAAATATTGCAGCAACTTGAAGGAGCGAGGTAAGTACCTTTGAACCTCTTGTCTACACAGAACCTGCCCACCCATCAGAGCCACTTGAGTGAAACACAGGAGAGAGGTAAGTACCTTTGTACCTCTTGTCTACACAGAACCTGCCCACCCATCAGAGCCACTTGAGTGAAACACAGGAGAGAGGTAAGTACCTTTGTACCTCTTGTCTACACAGAACCTGCCCACCCATCAGAGCCACTTGTCCTCGTGGAGCGGTCACATTCCAGGAGTTGTTAATGCCCCAACAGTTAGTTTTTGGTGTTGATCATAGGTTATGAGAGCTGAACCAAATGATCAGTCTTATGCATGGAGACAGTATCAGTGTTAAGTAAGCCTGATGGTGTTCTTAAACAGATTGTGGCTTAATTATGTATTTTTTACATAATTTGTGTAAATGTTTTGATAAATTATACAATTTAGCTAAATGGCTTGTACAGTATTCCTTTAACATAACAGATTGAGGTCTGGCATAATGATAGTTTTATGAGAGAGATTTATGCCTTTGTCACTATTATCAGTAAAGCTTTCATTTATTTATATCACAACATAAACTTACATCACTTTAAAAGGTTTCAACTGAGATTCATTATACACAACAGACTCAAGACTTTAAAGTGTTTTGTTTGGTGGCTGTGTCCTCTGTTTATGGACATTTATAGCTCAACTTAATTTACCGACAGAGCCAACAATGTGGGATAATTGTGCTTCTGTAACTACAAACACATAACATGTCATGGGAAAGAACGAATCCTTTTATTTTTAAGCACACTGAGATTTTACAAGTTACAATAATAAGCATTAGTATTATGGTCAATATTTTGAACTAGACATAAAACTTACATAGCGCTGAATGGACCTAACACTCTGTTTTACGAATAACTGACTCGAGAGATTCCCGGCTCTGTTTGGGCGTCTGTTCTATGGTTCTGAGGACCGATAAAGACGACATGTTGGCTTCCGTTAGACGGAAACTGGTCTCCCCCAACTCGGCCTCTGTCCCGCACACCGCTATCATACCTGCAGACAAGGAACACAAAGGTTATATAACACAAATGTGCAGTACAGTAAACCCTCGCTATAATGGAACCCGGTTATAATGGAACCTGGTTATAATGGAACTCGGTTATAATGGAACCTGGTTATAATGGACACTGTAAACCACAATAAACAAAACACCATCACCGACGGAGTGGACGACCAATTATCACTAGTTAGCTAGACCGCCCGCTAGATGGATCTACGGTGCTCCTAAGACTGTGTAAAAAAGACTAAAAGATACTAAGTAGCCGATGACACATTATGTACTGTACACAAGACATTACCGGGTTTCTTGTCAGCGAGATATGTGCAGTAAGTGTCGAGGATAACTGTGATGTCATCGTGGGTGTGGGAAGAGCTCGCCTCACGATGCCAGAGAGAACGATGTTGACGGACGAACTGCAGAGCTCCGACCCACCGCTGGTCAGCCACTAGTTGTAATAACTGCGAACCATCAGTGAAAAGATATTATTACAGCTTCAGTCTATAAGATTCTTTTCAATGTAAACACAAACACCGTGGGCACGTCTGGCGGCACCTACTCATACAGACACCCAGATCAGGTTAATCATCTACCCTGTGTTGTATAAACCAAGGCAAACTTAATTATATACATGATTAATGGCCTTTATGTTGTCTTAGATGCTGCCAGATGTGTCCAGAGTATTGTGTTGGTGGCTATACATATTAAAGTAACTGATAAAAATTAACTAAAATGAGACTCAGGTACAGTCTTGTCTCAATTACCAACAGTATAACAACTTTACTACTAAGAGAACACAAAGAATCACCCAAAAACAAATCACAGGTCTTGAGCATGTACTGTATTAGCTCCTGATTTATAGGCAGAATTATTTATATATTTGTGGATTAATTACATTAGACTTGTATAACTATCACCCACTGTAACTTTCCACTAGCTATGAGGTTCATGTTCAGAGCACGTGATAAGGTGTGTCCACGGGAAGTCGCGTCACTTAGTGCTGAGCTAAAGGTTAAGTATCCGGCTCTCTGGCCACCTATTGCGGACAGTAGTCTGATAACCCCGACGAGAGGAGGACGTTATATAGAGCCATCATTGATATGCTTCCGTCCTTTCTTGAGGGAGGACGTCGGATATATTTCCGTTCTCCCTCGAGGGTCCCTACTCTAGATTATCACTCCAACTCTCACATTAACAGGACGTATATAGTAGAGCTATTTAATATAGCCTCCGTCCTCATTAACACTCATAACTACAGTGGTTAAGTTACGGTTATATACACTTGAACTACATATACTATATTTTCTTAAATAAATGAAGAAAAGGACTACTTGGATTTTGCTACTAAAACCCAATAAACCTTTACATGTTCTAGTGGTATTAACAAATGAAGATTAATGGTTTAGGGCCCACAACAAACAATGAGTAAAGAAAAACTAATTCAATTCTCCCCAAACTCATAATAAATGTTGCTACTAAACTGGAATAAAGAGAACATTTTCGCAAGATAAAAAAACTAACCGGGAAATTGAATCTTTGAAAATTTTGGATACGATTATATACAGTACTGTACAGTGAAACCCCCATATAATGGACTTTTCCCTGCATATAATCCATTAGTTAGAGGTTTTACATCTAACGGACCCTCGATATAATGGACTTTCATCTCTATACAGTCCATTAAATAGAGGTTCCACATCTAACGGACCCTCGATATAATGGACTTTCATCTCTATACAGTCCATTAAATAGAGGTTCCACATCTAACAGACCCTCAATATAATGGACTTTCATCTCCATACAGTTTGTTACACCGAGGATTCACTCTAATATGTAAACTGGAAATATTACCTGGAGTTCTGCTTCAGGTTGAGAGTTGGGTTGTGTTACAGGGAGCTCTAAGGACTGAGACCCAAGTGAGGAAGAGCTTACTGGAGAGCCTCCTTCAGTGCGTCCTATACTGATCTCACCTGCACTCCCTCCTTCACTCTCCTCTCCGCCGACACTTTCACACTCTCCCTCTTCACCCTTGGAATAGAAGTGACGTCAGGTGTTAATATTTGAGACTGATTGATCGTTTGTGGTAGTTACATCCCTGGCAGTGCAACAGCTTAGGTGGAAGACCTTAAACTGATGCTTTGGTGATGAGAAATAATTAATACAAGATGAAAACAAAATAACATCAATAATAAATAGCATAACTTCTGTAAAAACCATTGAAATATTAATTGATAAAACTCAAAAACTTGTTAATAATGTTATACTCCGACCCATAACGAGGTGGTTGAAGGAATGGGCCCACTAACCTTGGCCCCGACCCGACCGCCTCATTAACTCGTTGAATATGACGACTCTACTCCACGAGAACAACAACACCTCTTGTTTTACTGCCATGCGACATTACGCTTCTCCCGCCGGTAATATATATTTATTTTTAAGTCAAGAGAAATTCCTATAACTCTTAATAATAATGATAACTTGATATATTTCCTCCAGCCGCTTCTCATATGACTGAGCCACCTTCACCACCCATCCCCTCCCCTACCCACTCCTACCCTCCAGCACTGATCAGGTCATTTAAGTAACACAACTTATCAACACGGTCGTTAACCTTACCTCCGGCAGCTCTCGTTCAGGGGGAAGACACTGTGAGCTTTGCGTTGGTGTTGTGGGAGGCGTGGAGTCCAGTTGTTCCACAGCAGCCACTAGTTTGCCCTGCAGTGTACTCAACTCTACACTGTGGTCACTCGCCTAAATAGAAAACAAAATTAATTATTGTTTTCCTGAATCATTCCGTAAAGTGTTTTCCGAAGATGGCGGTCACTGTCGACACCTCTCATGACTCAGACTACAATAAGTTGTTTAATCAGCTTTTTGTATTTCTGTAGTTTTTTATGGGATTACTGATTTAAACTGATTTTGTCCTCCAAGATGTAATACAAAACTACATACAATAATAATTCCATAAATCATCAAAAAAGACTATAATCAGTTTGGTATAAAGACAACACAGGTATACAGTATATATACACCGTAAAAAACAAACACACGTAGTTTCCTCAAGTCTTGTGAACGTGCCTCAACCTCACGTACTTGAAACAGGAGAACAAATGACACTTAAAATATAATAAAATAAACAAGATCCATTTTTCACTCCCTCATTCTTGCAAGCCAGTTTAGGAGAGAGGTTCTGAGCTTGTGTTAGACCTCCTCCTCAGCAGACCCAAGTTACCTATCTGTTTTACATCACCCGAGTGTGACCTAAAGATCTCATAGGTCTGTCTGTCTATCTGTCTGTCTGTCTATCTATCTGTCTGTCTGTCTGTCTGTCTGTCTCTCTATCTACCCCTCATTCACCGTTCAAAGACGAGCACCGAGCCATACCTGTGCAGTTTTAGCCGTGTGAATCAGAGCCATTAGGAGCTTGGTGTAGGTGTCGTACAGGAGCGAGAGCTGGAAGTGTATCTTGTACAGGCAGCGGCAAAGGTCTATGTGCTGCTCGTCGGCACAAAGCTCCGGCAAACTCTCCCCAAGGTGTTGGAGTTTCAGCGTCGACTTGATCCCGTCCAGACACTGTAAATTAATGGATTTGGTCCGTTTCAGCGTTGATTTGATACCAGCCGGACAATGTAGGTTAGGTTTGGGTTGTGTTAGGTTAGGTTTGGCTATGTTAGGTTAGGTTAGGTTTGGCTATGTTAGGTTAGGTTAGGTTTGGCTATGTTAGGTTTGGCTATGTTAGGTTAGGTTAGGTTTGGCTATGTTAGGTTAGGTTAGGTTTGGCTATGTTAGGTTAGGTTAGGTTTGGCTATGTTAGGTTAGGTTACAAAGAAACAAAAACCCAGAGTATTATTGGGTAAAGTCGACTTACCACATTGGCACTCTCCCTCTTGTCCAGGTAAGTGTCCAGATGCTCGTGCAGGGCGATGAATGTCGAGCGGAACCTCTGTGTGAGCTGAGTGACTCCGAGCAACGCGGCGTCCACGTACACATACATCAGAGGAGCCAGGCCATCCACTCCCTGCTGGCAATGACACAATGATTATGACAACACAGTGAAGCCTACATGTAGTAACGGGGTTCTCTCTCCATATGATAAGTTGGATTGGGGTTTTTAGCACCTAACGGACCCTTGATATAATGGACTTTCATCTCTGTATAGTTCGTTAGATGGGGGTTCCACATCTAACGAACCCTCGATATAATGGACTTTCATCTCTGTATAGTTCGTGAGATGGGGGTTCCACATCTAACGAACCCTCGATATAATGGACTTTCATCTCTGTATAGTTCGTGAGATGGGGGTTCCACATCTAACGAACCCTCGATATAATGGACTTTCATCTCTATTAGTTCGTTAGATGGGAGTTTCACATCTAACGAACCCTCGATATAATGGACTTTCATCTCTATATAGTTCGTTAGATGGGGGTTCCACATGTAACGAACCCTCGATATAATGGACTTTCATCTCCATATAGTCCTTTAAATAGAGGTTTTACTGTAGAGGAGATTAAATATCACAGGGAGAGAATCTATACAAATTTTTTACGTAAAATAATGAAGTAAAAAAGCATTGAATTTAAAAGTTATTATAAAGTTATTCGGAAAATTATCTTTATACAAAATTATCATAAATATTACTTTCTGACACAATGATTTAGAAATTAAGTGATTTTAGTAAGTCCCAGTACAAATAGGTTAGGTTAGGTTGGGGTTTGGTTAAGTTTGGTTAGGTCTCTTAGGTTAGATTGGGGTTGCGAGGTTAGATTAGGTTAGGTTTGGGTAGGTTAGGGTAGGACTGCTTAGTTTAAGTTAAGTTAGGTCAGGTTAGATTAGGTTAACTTAGGTTAGGTTAAAGGTACAGTTAGAAAAGAATATTCTTCCCTTCATCGCTTTGGTCAGTGGAGACCTCCGGCAACTCTCTCAGTAGTTAACAGTATCAAGCCCATATTAATGAACCAGTCTCCAGCCCTAGTAAAGGCGGCGTCTGGATGAAACCAGTCGCTCCAAATATTTTGTTTGTTATCCATCACTATTTTAATCAATTAACATAATCATAACTACATGTTTGCCACAATATGAATGTTTACCTTCATATAATATTAGAAAGGTTAATAAAAACAACATAAGTTGACTGAAAATATTATAGATAATTGTACGGTTATTATCACGCCTCCTACAGGGTGACGGTCACCTGCACCAATAACACTGGCAACAGATGCTGGAAGAAACCAGAATGAGTTACACAGGATTTCTAAAAAATATGTTTACCAAAGAACATATTTTCAGTAATGCCGGTGGATGTAGCGTTCACCCATGCCAGCACAGGTGCATAGTGGAGAGACAGCTGTGTCATGCTTAGGCTGGCTGACGTGACCTAACGTTATCACTCCTGAGAAAAATCAGAAAATTGATCGGCGACTAATGGTCGCTATCATTAATCCCGTTGGTAAGTTATGTTTACGTAAGCCTAACATGTTCCCGTGACTGTTGTCTGTGTTACCTGGCAGCCGTAGTAATTCATTACTGTATTTTTTTAAGATTTCTTGAGCCTCACGTTACATTAAACAAATATGACACTAGTAATATGGATCAGGAAATAGTGTCCTCTGTATGGCATATGGATCCTGTAGGGAACCGAAGTGTTCAAAACACTTCATTCAATATCACTGATTCTCACACCAAAAGGATATGAAGCGTAATAGTGGCTGCAGTCCCGTGGTTGCCTAGCCTCAGTCTGTCCATCGCCGAGCCTTGAAAGTGGATCATCGCGAGGCCAAGGTTGGTCTATGAGGAAGAATCGTTGGTATGAGAGACTGTGGCTTTACCAACATGGATATAACAAGAGAACTTGGAATTGACCGGAAAACTGTTTATCGGTGGCTTTAAAGGTGGGATGAAGAGGAAACTCTGGTAGATCGCCATGGATGAGGTGCCCCAAGAAAGACAACTCCATCTCAAGATCAAATGATACATCAAGCTGCAGATCAAAACCCATTTACGAATGTAGTTGTCATACAAGAAGACGTTCAACTTAATGTGACACCGAGGATTGTGGAGTCAGTTCTTGAACGACTGCAGGAGGTAATTGCCGGCAATGGAGGATGGACGGGTCACTAGTATGGTTATTTGGGTAAATTGAGTTGTACTGTATTTGTTACATATGGCTGTATTTTGGATGGGTTAGGTGAGCCAAATAGGTGGGTTGTATTAAAATTGTTGTATAAATTCATTTACACGTGATATAATTGGTGTTTTGTTGGATGGGTTAAAGATATGAGGCAAGTATTTGAGTTTTTCATTATAAACTCCATTTATTTAGTCCCATGAAATAATAATTAACATCAAAGCGCAAATTGTATAAATTAACACCACTTGGGTAAATAAACAACTTAAGAGTCGTTATCAGGTTCTCCACAGACTTATCACACCATATAATATTATAAACAACACCAATGATGAAGTTTTTTATAATGAAAAAATATGAGACCTCGTGAAAAAGATATTTATGAATCAGAGGCGAAATTAAGGCATTCATTAAATAAATATTTCACGAAACTGATTTCATCCTAACGTGCCCTGTTTACTACTGAGAGAGTTGCCAGATGTCTCCACCGACCACAGTCATGTAGGGCAGAATATTCTTCCGCAACTGTACATCGGACAGAGACCCCAACCGACCAATACACCACATAACTCACCTCCAGGTAGTGAAGGAAGGCTCCGTAATTATGCATCATCTCTCCGCTCTCCCCCAAGTACTGGCTGCTCTCACTCACCAGCTCACTAAACTTGACCACACTCTCCTGCACCAAAGAAAACCATCATTAGCATCTTCTAGGGGGAAACTATCATAAACAAAGGCAAAAAGACACTTCTTTTTCATTCAATAACCAAGACGTATTTCATTGTAACCTAACCTAACCTATACTTAATGTAATGTAATTTGACTAAATGTAATCTAATGTAATATGATTTAGCCAAAAGTAAATTAACCTAATCTATCCCATACTGAATGTAATGTAATGTGTGTGTGTGTGTGTGTGTGTTCTATTACTGTACGTTCCTGAGTGTTGGTGTAATAAATTAAGACATGTTTCAGAAGACATAACCTGCCCCAGTTTAAAACTTTATACAGTCAAGCCCCCACATAATCTCTTTCTCTCTCTATATATATATACAGGACGTCCTCGTTATAACAGTATCCACTATCCCCGGTTTCACAGTTAGGTCGTCAACTTTTTATGACCATCCACGTAAAAAGTCCACGCGTTTAAGTGGAGTCCGATCGAAAACTCTGAAAACTACGGATTTTTAGTTGAAGCGTTTGAAATTCCTCCTCTTCCTGGTGTCGTGCATACACACACATGTCCCAGGTCAGTCTCCCACTCTGTTTCGTCCAGTCCAGTGTTGTGTTGTGTTTTCTCCAGCCTTTGTTGTGTATATGTTGTGAATTGTTTTATTTTCGTAGCTATGAGTTCCCAATCCAAACAGTGTGGTGCAGCAGTCAGAAGGAAGCACACAGCTATAGTATAGATGAAATATTAGAAGAGATTTGGTGAAATAAGATAGGGAGTGGACAATCACCTAGTCCTGTTTCTTTTTCATCCTTGGACTAATCCACCATTCCCAACACCCACCACCATCCTCCAACACCCACCACCATCCTCCAACACCCACTGCCATCCTCCAACACCCACCTCCATCCTCCAACACCCACTGCCATCCTCCAACACCCACCTCCATCCTCCAACACCCACCTCCATCAATCAGGCCAAACACCTCCTCTTTTACGCTGCACATCACCAGGTCGCTGACACACGTTGCCTCAACACACCGACCCCAATGAACTTTAAGGACGTTAGATAACTTATAAAATTAAATAATTTCTTAAAATAACGTTATCAAATGTTTAACAAATGTGTCTAAGGTAAATAATTGTTAAAAGATATCATATTAACTTTTTTGGGTGAGTGTCGTCTACAGTGTCATGGCGCCAATGTGATCTATTTCCATTATTTCATGTGGGATTAATTCACTGCTTTATGTGACTTTGTTATTAGAGGCATTTTTATGGTCCCAATTAATCATGGATAACGAGGACCCCCCTGTACTCCATTATATGGGGGTTCACATCCAACGAACCCTCGATATAATGGACCTCCCTCTCCATACACCACATAAAATAAGGAACTTTACCATAACCTCATAGACACTATAAAAGGAACACAACGCCTTATAAACACATAACAAACAACTCAATAATTTATACCTGTCATAATTATCACCGCCGAATGTGTAACTCACGGAGAAGACGGCGTTGAAGAGCGTACAGGTCCTGGTGGGGTGGAGGATGGGGGCGTCGGCGGCCATCAGAGAGAGGAGGTGAGCCCGCCAGGTGTCCTCTAAATCGTTGGGTTGACGGATCGGGCGGAACAACATGGCGGCAATACTCGGGGAGGCGTTGCAGGGCGTCATGTCACCCAGGTCCCCGTCGCTGCTCTCGCTGTGGCTAAAAGAGGAACAAGATTATTAGTGTAAATTATATAACACATGATGACCTAACCTCTGATGACCCGAGAGATGATGACCTAACCTCTGATGACCTAACCTATGATGACCCCTCAGGCTCCCAATCACAACAACTCTTCCTTTCAATGTTTGGTGCGGTAATCCCTGACCTGAGTGTAAGTGAGGACAGTTACTGTGTGGAAAAAGAAGAAAAAAGAAAGAAAATGAATGAAAAAATCTTGCAAAACTGTGACTTTAATTTCAGCAGACAATGGCCAGTAGAGTGATGGCAGCTTAGTGATCAGAACAGGTGTTGATGCCAGCTTGGTGATCGGAACAGATGTTGACGCCAGCTTGGTAATGTTCACTCACTCGGACATTGACGTGGGGGAGGTGGGTCTGCGTACGGAGGCGGTAGTGTCGAGAGTCAGTTTTGGCGGCACGGCGGAGTGAGCGGTGGCGGTCGGCTGCGGGTGGCGGGTGTGGGGCACCGCCGACCGCTCCCCAGCGCCCAGCGTGGGGTCGTCGACGGGGGACACGGATCCTTCCTCTTCCCACCACTCGTGATCTGCCGGGGGCGTGGGTTTCTTGCCGTGGGAAGGCGTGAGCTCCGAGCCGTGGATGTCGTCCATGTGGCTCAGAGGGTCGCCATCTCCAAGGTTACTCGGCGATCGACGACGAACTCCCCAAAGATTGAAGTTGTCAACACTCTCCTCCTGTTGATGACGGGACAGGTGTGATGAAGTTGTTTGTGTGATCGTGACAGTATAGAGAGATAGAGGAAATATATCACCTCACTCTGATAAACAAACATGAATTATATAACCATTTGTTTACATGAGTGAATGAGCAACAAGACACACACCACACTGGACACACTCTCTCTCTACCTTAACACTGATGTTTGCATGAGGTACAAACATCTCTGATAATAATTACTTCTACAGTCACTGAGAGAGACAGAGATAATACACTTTACACAGTAGAGTCCATAGAACTTACTCCCTGACTCTCCAGCTCATACTCTAAGAAGTCAAAGTCCTTAAAGACGGCGAACTGTTTCTCCGACGAGGTCATGTCGTCGGCGGTGCGGTCGTTGGCAGTGTCGCCCGGGGCCACAGACACCTCCTCTGTGGAAGACGCCATGGACGACTGCCTCTCCAGCTCTGAACTTTGGCTGAATATGACCTGGTGTTGGATTGGCCAAACATTAGTAAGGTTTCTATAATCTACAGTACATGAGTGGGTGTACAGTATTAAGTGGAATATAGTGTTACACTAGTGATGTGTCTTATGGACAAACTATACTGTAAGAGATGATGGCTAACCGACACAAGCACAGTATTGTGATGTTGGTCACTAGTCATATGGACCCCAGTCCTATGGGGTCCTATCATAATGGTCAAGTTGGGGCCTATTAGGACTGGGGCCTATTAGGACTGGGGCCTATTAGGACTGGGGTCTATTTGACTCGTAATCATTATGTTCTATCAAGGATATTCCAGGGGAGATCAGCGGGCGGCACAGAAAGTTAAAAGCAACGATATAAAGTAAAGCTGACACTAGGACGTGCAGTTAGTGACGCCTCTCGTGTGTACGTCAAGTGAGCTCTGGACCTGACAAGCCCCGACCTAACTGTTAGTACCGGGGTCCATCAGGCTTGGTAGAGATTAGGACTGTGCCAACACCCTTAGTGATCAGGTCAGGTCGGGGCCCATTAGCACAGGAGCACATCTGACGACTCCCCTGACTGTTAGTGATACATCCAAGTCTATAACAACACCGTCAGGGGCAGCGTTTGTAGCCATTAACTACAAACAAGAATAAGAAGAATCAACTATGAGGTAATTAAGGAGGTCAAGCGAGGGAGGATAGCGAGGTAACGGTGATCAGCCTTGGCCTCGTTAAACACGTCATTAATGTATCTCTTATGACCTGCAAGACAGAAAGTTTCAATTATTTGGTCTTGGTTTTAAACTTATTATTGTACAGTTTATAAATTTAAGAGAATAAATCACTATCATTTGTTAGAATATGTAGCAATCTTTCCCCTGAGACCCAGCATTAGGCTCTTAAAACAGCAACATAGACATTATACAGTACATTTATCACATTATTGTATTAGTATCTGAGAGTTTTTTGGATCTATTTGTATAATTATCTAAGCTGCGAAACTACTCTGACCACCACAAGAGTCATTATACACCGAGCCAGTTGATGTACCGTCAAACACAAGAATCCCGTCGCCTTTCCTCCCGAACCCCAGGATCCAAACCCGTGAATCCGAACCATTTACGGAACTGCATCGGGTTCGCGAATCTGAATCTCCGGGTTCGTCTGTTCAGAAGAAGTGACGGGGACTTGTGGGTGACTGTACCTGTATCCTAACCTGAAGGAATCACTCCACCTGTTCTGTTTTTGTTCTGAATAAGTATTTGAATTTAAAAGAAAAACTTGAGTTCCAATAATGCATCAATAACATCTAAATCTATCTGTTAACTGATCATTACTTCTGTAGCTAAAAATGTCTAAAAAAAATACCTTAATTGAACAGTACTTAAGAATTACCAAGTTGCTAAGAAGTAGGAACTAATCATCATATATATTCAAAAATGCCAAGTGGTGGAGGGACCTGTTAGTGGACACACCCAAGAGCAGAAGGTTTAGGAACTTATAATTTACGTCATGCGGAGAACAAGCAGCGGAGAACAGCGGAGAACAAAGCATTGACCCACAGACATAAACCGTTCACTATAACACAAACTACTTGGCATGTTAGATTGCTTATTGATCAAGTGGGTCCCCAGACTTACAAGCCCCCCTAACCTAACCATTAGCATCGAGACTTAAAATATTTCAACATCTTCGGACTGAATCCTTCCAAACTGCGCCATAATGCTAATGCTTGGGTCGGTTACGGGTCCCACCTCACCAAACGCCATCGGCTCGGCATTCAGGTATAATCCATTACCACAAATTATATTCCTGAACACTAAACTAAATGCCACACCAAAGGTAATTGATTTAGTTTCACCTATACAGACTCACACTGGTGATCTGTGTGCGAGCGTCGATGGCTACCATACTGTTTTAACGCCCGTACGGAATCATCAACTACACAGGGGCTTGTTTGTACTATCATCATCATTGTTTAAATATAACTAAACAAAGCATTATGGAGGCTTTTCATTTAGTATCCAATTCTGTTTTATTACTTTACCTCTACAACCCCCTCCTACATTACCTCTACACCTCCTACATTACCTCTACAACCCCCTACATTACCTCTACACCTCCTACATTACCTCTACAACCCCCTCCTACATTACCTCTACACCTCCTACATTACCTCTACAACCCCCTACATTACCTCTACACCTCCTACATTACCTCTACAACCCCCTACATTACCTCTACACCTCCTACATTACCTCTACAACCCCCTACATTACCTCTACACCTCCTCCCCACCCACCAATCACCATACACCCTAGTGGCACAACTGGGATAATTCCACAAGGGCGTTAAAGCGACTAACCACACTCGCGACACCAGATCATCAGTGCTCGGCCCGACAGTCTGACAAAATTACAGATCAGAAATTTCAAACATCATCCCCCCCAAAAAAATATATCCCTGTTAACTGGAATCGACAAGAATCAGCAAGACTTTAATTTGGATTTATCGTAATATAATTCTCGGAAAGAGGAATTTATCAGCTGGTGGTCGATGATAAGAGGATGGATTTACCTTGCTCATGTTGCCCTCCTGCTGCAGACAACAACCAAGGTTCATGAAACAGAGACAAGGGAGACAACAGGTTAATTGTAATAAGCCATGCCACCCCCACCCCCCTAGCAAGACTTATTTACTATATTATACAGAAGGTGAAAGAGACAGTGTGTTGATCCAGACGACCTCAATGTTATCTGTTAGACGCTTAGCTGTGCCACGTCTCAACTGAACCTACGCAGGAGTTGGTGCTGATTCTTTATTGACATTTTTATTACTATGACTATTGTTGGTATAGCCACAAGTATTACTGGTATAGCCACAACAATTACCGCTCGAGTATAGCCACAACCATTAATAATCCTGAATAATTATCCACGCAGCATTAATGAATCGTGAAAGCCACCAAATGAAAAATTAAACCAATTATTTAATTATATATGTACTGTATGTCTTTCTGATATTGAAATTTAATATAATAACATATTTGTGGTCCACAGAGCTTCCCACAAGAACAAGCGGAGGTCTTGAACACAGCCGCACCCAACACTGCTCTGGGGTGGTTGGAGGTGCAGCTGGACCTTGTATAATAGCGAAAGATTTACCCACGAGGAGACTAAACATTACGAACGGCAGCGAACGTTAAAGTGGGGAAACGTCTCGTGACATTGAGAGATTAACTATGGGGGCCTAAGGTACAGTAGCGTTGAAGTCGTCTGGTTCGGGCACTACACACAAGCTGCACTATGAGGTCGCTATAATCATCCCCATTGTACTAGTCTAAGGTACCATTATTCCTCCTCTGCCCATCCATGCTATATACTGTACAGTCATTCTGGATCAGCTCTCTCTCTCTCTTTCTGACCTCCTGAGTCCTATCACAAATGAAGTTTAGTTGAGAATTATGTTTTGATTGGTTGGATTAGTTTCCTCTTGAGCAAATCACAATTAAAGTTCAGTAGAGGAAATAGTTATTACATTTTGATTGGTTGAGGAAGCAGTTATTACATTTTAATTGGTCGGATTAGTTTAGAGAGCTGATGGAGAATGTAAAACCTTTGCATGCCTGATATTATACAACAGTTGTTACCATAAGAGAAGAAATACCTGAAAAAAGCAAACAAATATTACCCTCAACAGACAAACTCTAGTGATTATCCCACATTTCCCTTAACTTTCACCTATCAATCACTTCTGAGAGTTATTGTAATTGAATTTATATTTGTTATCATTAAGCGTTCACCTAACTCACAGAAAACGAATTATTAAAATGGGAAACTGAAGAAATTTTACTACTGTACATAAAGGAACCACAGTTCTGTACATGGTGTTATACTTCCTTCATTATACAGAACTGAGAGGTGAGAGGTTTAAAGTGCGAGACTCATGTGACAAGACTTCAAAAACATTCAGAGTCGAACGTAAATATAAAGAAAGAGAAACGCTACACATCACAACGGAATAAGAACTGCCACGTTTCTAAACTCAGCACTGAAGCGATTTTAAAAAACTCCCAAGTGATGTAGCATAAGTGTTTTAAAGGTCTTAGTTCAATGAGAGGATCTTCCAGAGAGCTTTTAAAGATGACACATTCTTGGAGGAAGAGGAAGAGGAGGGATGATGTGGTGTTAAAAGTTACCCAAAAGACCGTTATGGAACCTCCTGCAAGACACGCAACTTGCTCGACACATTCAAAGCCTTGGCCATGCTAGATACTAAGACGAATAAAGATCGTACTCTACCTACTTTATGTGACTCATGCTGTTTTAGTACAGAAACCCATACAGTCTGAAACAATTAAGAACTTATCATGCAATTCTGGAACTTTTGATTTCCTTGGATACATCATCAACGCCTCAACCACTCGGGGCGGGGGGCCTGGTTACACGGTGTAGTTACTGGATAAACGAGACCCAGTCCTAATAAAGTCTCTAACCTAACCATTTTGGACGTCAGGGTCAGGATAGGGAAGGTAGGGTTGGCTAACATAAGGGTTAGGTTAGGTTGGGTTATATAAGGGTTAGTATAGGTAGGGTTGGCTTACATAAGGGTTAGGTTAGGTTTGGATACAATTGGCTCCATTAGGTTAGGTTAGGTTCGGGTAGGTTAATGGCCCTATTAGGAATGTGATCCCTTTACCCAGTGACGTTTCTCAAGTCACCAGAACATGACCTCAAGACTCATATACCAGACATCATAACAGACAACCGCATGTCCTGGATAACGAACACTCTGATCACCCGACTCGGATGATTGAGGCGTTGGTTAAATATGTATTAAATGTCATCACTTGTATCTTTTATATAGATATGTGTTAAATTTTATTCAAATATGTAATATGTTGAGTCCATCTATATAAACTGTGTCAAAATTTCAATATCACAGAGTAAAAAAATATAACACAATGGGTGAAGAATTTCTTTTAGTTTTACAATATAGCCACTGTTTTGGCCCATCTGTCACACTCTGATTGGTTAATTCTCACTCCTATCAAACTCTGATTGGTTATTTGTCCCACTGGTCACACTCTGATTGGCCCAATTAGCTGTAATGTCTTTGTCACATGGTCTATATGAGAGAGAGGTAGAGGAGAGAGAGAGAGAGAGGGGTAGAGATGTGGTACAGTATGTTTGTCCACTGACTCCCTACCTCAGGCTGTCTGGGTACTTGTTCATATGTCATGTGTGATGAAGAGGCTTACCAGTAGTTATATACATTGTACTTCTACACATAAGTATACACACATATATATATACACACACACAAACACACACACATATATATACACACACACACACACACACACATATATATATACACACACACACACACACACATATATATACACACACACACACAGGCTAAACTTGTCAGAAAACGTAACATCATCAATAACATTAATTTTTTTTATAACATATCACATACAATTTGTTTTTAACTGAAAATAAAGATTATCAACAAATAGTTTAACAGATAATTAGTAACTATTAGCGATGTCCTTACAAAATAGTATTAGTATTATCTATATATATAGTACCTAACTTTATCTGGTATAATAGAATATTTTTAGGGGGTTTATGAATGACTGAATGATCATCAAGACGTCTATTGTGTCAAGGCGTCTCCCTGATGGTGAGACGTCTACAGTTCTTTATGATGCGATAGTCAACTAAAATATTGTCCCTGTCTCCACATCAAGACGTCTATTGTGTCAAGGCGTCTCCCTGATGGCGAGACGTCTACAGTTCTTTATGATGCGTTAGTCAACTAAAATATTGTCCCTGTCTCCACATCAAGACGTCTATTGTGTCAAGGCGTCTCCCTGATGGTGAGAGACGTCTACAGTTCTTTATGAGGCGTTAGTCAACTAAAATATTGTCCCTGTCTCCACATCAAGACGTCTATTGTGTCAAGGCGTCTCCCTGATGGTGAGACGTCTACAGTTCTTTATGAGGCGTTAGTCAACAAAAATATTGTCCCTGTCTCCACATCAAGACGTCTATTGTGTCAAGGCGTCTCCCTGATGGCGAGACGTCTACAGTTCTTTATGAGGCGTTAGTCAACTAAAATATTGTCCCTGTCTCCACATCAAGACGTCTATTGTGTCAAGGCGTCTCCCTGATGGCGAGACGTCTACAGTTCTTTATGATGCGATAGGTAACTAAAATATTGTCCCTGTCTCCACATCAAGACGTCTATTGTGTCAAGGCGTCTCCCTGATGGTGAGACGTCTACAGTTCTTTATGAGGCGTTAGTCATCTAAAATATTCTCCGTCTCCACTCCCTCCTAGCAATGCTCCCTGAGGTACTGAGGGAGGGAGGGAGGGACTTTTTCTGGACCCCCCCACCCCTAACTAATCATAACAACTGGGATGCCAATTAGGTCGTTCTCTTTCACTCCAGCGATCGTTTAATACATACCGAGGGTGATTTGGGTAAGCCAACTCTCTGTCCGCAGGTGTTGAGTAGGTTAACCAGGCATTCCCGAGCTCTAGCCTGAAATAAACAGACAAACGATGGTGTGGTGAGGTCAGGTCAAGTCAGGTCAGGTTAGATCAGGTCAGGTCAGATCAGGTTAGGTCAGGTCAGATTAGGTTGGGTTAGGTCAGGTCAGGTTAGCTCAGGTCAGGTCAGGTTACAGGTTACAGGTTCAAAGTCTCGGTACAATTCAGACCCAGCGAGTCAGGTGGTTGTGTTCTGTCATCCAATATCTAAGAGGAACATTACAGTATAAATCATTAACCTTCCCACACCTGTATGTAGAGGTGTGGCAGTAGAACCTCCATTTAGTGTACCTCAGTCCCTTATATGGGGGTTTAATATGAAATTGACTTCGATATAATGGACTACTCTCTATATCAGTTCCTTATATGGAGGTTTAATATCTAATGAACCTCGATATAATGGACTACTCTCTAAATTAGTCCCTTATATGGAGGTTTAGTATCTAATGAACCTCGATATAATGGACTGTACTATAGTCCGTTAAAGAGACGTGTTGCTGTATGACGGGAACACCACACGGCATCATCAACTCTTCATTACTACAGAATCTTTACCATGAAACAATAAAAAACAAAATAATTACAAAACCTAAACATAATCAACAATAAATTAATTATGATAAAATTTAAAATCTTCGTAAAATAAAAAATTCTTAAAAGGCAGAATCATAATAATGCCTCGATGAAGTAAGAATAACAATAAAATTTAAAATACTCGTAATTCTTAAAGGTAAATCCAGAACAATTCCTCGATAAAATAATAAATATGATACAATTTAAAATACTCGTAATTCTTAAAAGCTAAAACCATAACAATGCCTCGGGTGAGTGTGGTCGCGGCAACGCCCCGAACCTGAGACAGCCACGGGCGCTTCCAGCCAGCGAGGTGACTGGTGTCAGCCGCAGAGAGCGAGAGGCTCCTGCGGGGTGAGGCCGTCTCCACTCGCTCAGTTCCCATCACTCCGTTGTTGTCGCTGCTCACCCGGTCCTGGAATAGATGGGTGGATTGAGGGGGTGAGGGAGAGGAGCATCAAGACAGGGGGTGAGGGAGAGGAGCATCAAGACAGGGAGTGAGGGAGAGGAGCATTGTACTCAGGCATTTTTGAATTGTAAAAAAGTAATAACTATTCACCTGAGAATATCTTATATTACCAAGTGCTCATGGCCTCAAATACCCATGATATTGGCCAGATTTCATAACAAAAATTCTGGCGGGTGCGGGGGGTGGAGGGGTTGAGTACAGCATTCCTCCCACCATGTTCCCCCCATCCACAATTCTTGGACCCCCTCTTTGGATATTCCTGGATCTCTGTCACTGCCTAAACTGATTCACAATAAGTCACAGTTAATCAAATGGCTGTTTTAATCTTACCAATATAACGAACTTCTGTATGTATGTATGTTTGTATGTGCAGTATGTATGTATGTATGTATGTATGTATGTGTGTGTGTGTGCAGTATGTATGTATGTTTGTATGTGTATGTGTGTGCAGTATGTATGTATGTATAGGTGAAGTATCTTGAGAGCATCACCTGTTCCTGATCTTGCAGACTCTCACTAGTGGCAGAACTGACGGTAGACGACCCAGCGCTGGCGTGACTCGGGAGGACTATCATTCCCGAACCTTTGAGGTACCGGCGGCCAATAATGGGCGTCTGGTTCACGTCGAAGGTGAACTCCATCGTGCGTCCTGTCGGTGGAAAGTGGCGTCTTACTACGAGCGGTGAAATACGACGTTAAATGGGTGTTTTTATTCATACAGTAGAACGTCGATTTAAAGCGATTCAATTTCCTCCCCACCCCACCCCACCCATATCTTCCCAGCCAGGGTTGGGTGGTTATACGCTTACAGTTTTTATCTTATATAATATCACAGACTAAAGTTAGGAGAATATAATTTCCATTGCTAGAATCCTTGCAAGACATCGAATAATTTGAATAAAAACATCATATATTTTGCACAAGATAAATTTTTTTAGCCCTTTGTAATAAAATTAATTAACCCTGGATTTTGTATGTTTAATGCAAACTATAGCATGTTTATATTCAAACTAACCACTACCTTATAAGAATTCCACCAATGTTAATTATATTCTCCTATGTCAGTTCAGTGACATTTTATAAGAGATTAATTTAAGGTCACTTTTAAGGGCAGATAAATAAATAAGCACTAGACCTTGGCATCAACTGTCAAACATATCACCTCACCTCCCCCCTATCAGCTGATCACCAGTACACAGACCATTTCACTTCCCATAATTTTAGCTGTGTTGATTTATGAGTGTTCGTTTTAACATAATACTACAATAAACAATGTTTTGTTTATTCTAGGAGATGGGCTGAGGTGCACCTGGGTAGACTGTCAGTCTTTTTAGTATTTTGTGTTTCTCTCAAGTACCAAACTAAATTATTCCACTGAAACAACACTTTGATTTAGTGCGACTTGGTTTAAAGCGACCTCCCTTGGAACGTATATCATGTTATATCGACGTTCTACTGTAATACATGCAGACATTATGATCAATTTCTCAGTTCTTGATCAATTTCTCTGTTCTTGATCAACTTCTCTGTTCTTGATCAACTTCTCTGTTCTTGATCAATTTCTCTGTTCTTGATCAACTTCTCTGTTCTTGATCAACTTCTCAGTTCTTGATCAATTTCTCTATTCTTGATCAATTTCTCTGTTCCCTTTTCAACTTACCAGGTAACTCCTTCTTGAAGTGGGACTCGATATCAGCAAAGACGTGATGGTCCCAGTAGTGGGTGTGGGAGGAGGCAGGAGGCACCACCAGCGATGATGAACGCGTCACGGCCATCTTCAGTATCCTGAGGGCTTCCTTCCAGTGTGACCCCTGTGAGATATAATCACTTTCATCCACAAATAATGACAATTCCACTTATAATAACGAGGATTGTTTTTGTTTTTTAAAGGCAATGATGACGGAGATGGGAGCTCGTACAGTACAATATAAACATGGTAGAGATGGGTGTTAATAAACATGGTAGAGATGGGTGTTAATGAGGGTTGGGTGTTACTGAGGGTTGGGTGTTACTGAGGGTTGGGTGTTACTGAGGGTTGGGTGTTACTGAGGGTTGGGTGTTACTGAGGGTTGGGTGTTACTGAGGGTTGGAGTGTTGCAAGGGTTGGGTGTTAATGAGGTTAGGTGTTACTGAGGTTGGGTGTTACTGGTTTGGGTGTTACTGAGGTTGCGGAGGTGTTACTGAGGGTTGGGTGTTAATGAGGGTTGGGTGTTACTGAGGGTTGGGTGTTACTGAGGGTTGGGTGTTACTGAGGGTTGGGTGTTACTGAGGGTTGGGTGTTACTGAGGGTTGGGTGTTACTGAGGGTTGGGTGTTACTGAGGGTTGGGTGTTACTTATGGCTGGGTGTTACTTACGGCTGGGTGTTACAGTACCTCAATATACTTAGCGATGACCCTCAACAGATCGCCGTTGACGAGCTGAGCGGCAGCAGTGTTCATGTCGATGTAGTGAAGCATACAGTGTAGGATGTTTAGTATGGGGTTCTGAACAGTCGTGGGTCCTTTCTCCAAGACCTGAAAACATTAGGCGGTTATATATTACAACTTTTATTGTGTGTGTGTGTGTGTGTGTGTGTGTGTGTGTGTGTGTGTGTGTGTGTGTGTGTGTGTGTGTGTGTGTGTGTGTGTGTGTGTGTGTGTGTGTGTGTGTGTGTGTGTGTGTCTCAATATCATAAACTAACAAAACAAAAACCAGACTAATTATCCAAATGACAACTAACCCTGACAACTAATAAAATGACAAAAAAAAAAGAAAGTTAAACCTCAATTTAACGAACTATACGGCGAGGAAAGAAAAGTCCATTACATAGAGGTTTAAACCGTAGACGACAAACTCACCTCAACCAGGAAAGCCATGAGACTGAGGGACAGATGGGCATAAGAGTCATGCAGGTACTTGACTACACACTTGGTCCACTGAAAACTCTCCTTGCTGAAGTTACGGCGGCTGTAAAGTGTCATGACCGTCGCCAAGTTCTCCAGTTCTTTACCTTTCTCGTTACATACCTGGAAAGTGGACGTGGATAAGACTGGATATTGTGATTTTACCCTCTGATGGTGATTTAACCCTTTAAAGACAATGTTTTAACCCTTTTGATGGTGATTTAACCCTCTGAAGACAATGATTTAACTCAAAGGGTTAACTCATGCTGGCTGCGGTAACTTAAAGGTGTTTCCTGCATCATACACAAACAGTACAGTATAAGGTACCTCTCAGTACTCACTCTACATACAAACAAACACAACATGGAGGCTTTCCCTTATAGCAATTTTCTATCTTGAATTCCAAGAACAAATGTCGTCTAATCTTACCTAACTTAACCTAATCTAACCTAACCAAACCTGGAACAGATGTGGATTAACCTAACCAAACCTGGAATAGATATGGATTAACCCAACCTAACCTAACCTGGAAGAAATATGGACTAATCTAACCTAACTTAACCTGGAAGACATGTGGATTAACCTAACCTAACTTAAACTAAGGATATTCACTTTCCGCAACAAGACCCCAGACAGTTCTCACCTGGGCGATGTTTTCCGACGCTTGTATACAGAGGGCGTTGGCGTCTTCGTAGTTCTGCAACATGTACGGCAGTAGGGCTATGACGTTGATGGCAAACGCTCGGCTCTGGCTTGGGTCGACAACCTGCCAAGGGAATTAACACCGTGACAGACTACAACGACAGTAAACTAGCGATCGTCAAGTCCCACAAAACGTAAAAGTAATTTCAAAGCAAACGATTCTTCCTCATCGATAGGAGAGAGAGAGAGAGAGAGAGACTATTATCGTTCTCTCTCTCTCTCTCTCTGTCTTTCATGTGGAGTAAATATAAGGATTGAGAAATATTAAATAGATATAATACAAAGCAATAGAGTGAGAAAGGAAGAAGATGACCATAAACTAACCACATTTCCCCCACATCACCATAAACTAACCAAATTTCACACACACCACCATAAACTAACCAAATTTCCCCCACACTTACTATCAGATCGCTTAGCGGGGTGAAGCGTGAGAGTAGAGTAATGGTTGGCTCGTAGGTGGTGGCGCTCGTACAGCCCTTGAGCAGTAGAGCGTGGACGCCGGGGAAATCCTTCCATTTGAGCTGCTGTTGTAACTTCTCCACCTGCGGTACAAGATGCGTGCGTGTGAGACAATAACGACAACAGCGGCTGGTTTACGATGTCTGTTTACACGATATTTTATTAATTGGTATTGGAGTTTGTTAATGGAGTCCGGATTATTGGATTTTGTATTCCTGGGAGACTCACCTTATCTCGGCAGTCTGGACGATCGAGCGGCAGTCGGGCGAGGACTTTATCCAAGAGCCTCATGGCCAAAATAAACTCATAGTCGTAGTCTGATTCCAACATCGAGACGGCAATCCAGAAGAATTGCGCCAGGACCTGTAACGATCGTAGAACGGCGATTAATTAAACCCGTTGTATACAACAATTTATGTCGTGTTAATTATATAAAAAAAGAGATATTCTTACTGGGTGTATTATAGATTCACACATAAACGCAATACAACACAAATATACTCATAACACACTCAAAACACACTCAAAACACACACACACACACACACAAAACTCTGGATGACTCACAAATCCTGTTCACTTTTTAAAATGACTTTCCTTGGTCTCTCTTACATAGTCCATCCAACCATCCTGTCTCCACCAAACTCTCATTAACCTTCCTTATCTAATCTCTTATCTGCTGGTCACCCTATTGGCCCATATCATTGTTGTATGGTAAGTTACCCCATACAGACATAACCCGTATAGTCACAAAAACAAACGAACAAAAACAAAGATCACGTGAAGAGTAGACGGACCAGTTTATTTCACCTTATTATTCAACAACTTAAAAATTCTACCTGGGTTGGGTTGAATAGGGTTAGGTTAGGTTGGGTCAGGTAGAATAGGGTTGGGTTGGGTTGGGTTGAATAGGGTTAGGTTAGGTTGGGTCAGGTAGAATAGGGTTAAGTTGGGTTGGGTTGGGTAGAATAGGGTTGGGTTAGGTTGTGTTACAGTTAGCATTAGGGTATTTAATCATCATTGGTAAAATAAACTAGGGTGGTTAATCTTCAGGTGAATCCGGTGACCAATATCTTACAGTCATTTTATCATCGGCTGAACTCTGGTCAGCTAACTGCTTCAGCGATTGGGCGGACCGTGACCGGGATAAGTTACTAGACTGTTGAAGCTGATGTTGTTGTTGTCTCATGCGTGTGTCTACGTCTGTTCCGCTCCTTCCTCGCATCTCCGGTTGAACTGTAAACAATGGCTGAACTGTAAACAATGGTTGAACTGTAAACAATGGCTGAACTGTAAACAATGGCTGAACTGTAAACAATGGTTGAACTGTAAACAATGGAACGATTTACATTTCCATCGTTGTATATCACTGGTAACTACAATGGATCCTAACCTAACCTAATTTAACCTAACCTAACTTACCCTAACCTGATCTAACCTAACCTACTCTAACATAAGTTAATTGTGTTTTTTTACCTTTTAGGACTGGACACTAATAACAATGTTAGGTTAGGTTAGCAGTGGTTAGGTTAGGTTAGCTGAGGTTAGGTTAGGTTAGGATCAACAAATGATAGGGGCTCATATGACCAATCAATTCTCTATCCTTGCTCACACAATCCATTTCTACCCCTATAACAATCCCTAATCAAAAAATCTTGAAAATACTAATAAATGATCACAACTCCACACCCCTAACCTGAGGCAGAATAGACGTTGTGTTTCTGTTCCACGGTACTTGATCCCCTCCCACCCTCCCATTAAAAACATCATGGAAAGAAATTGAGATACTTTCCCGATTTGTTATATTTCCACAACTCTGGGCCAAACACATTCACAGGGGGGGGTACAACTGTGATCTCTCGTCGCTACCAAACAAAGATTATTACTCCGAGATGATAAATAAACCAATCGGCCACGTCGATATTATTATTATTATTATCGACTCTTGTATATTTTTCCCGGCTAAGATAAAAGTTCTCAACATCAATACTCCGTTACCCTTGATATCGGCTGTTGGCGACCCCATCGGCTTCCCTCGACCGTACGATATCGAGTAGGACGTGGAGCGAATGTGCCCGCCGGGGGAGACTGGAGCTGAAGGTTGTGGGTATCCGGCTCCGTAGAAATGGCCGATCATCCCGTACCCTATAGGGCCCTTCCTGTCTTTGTTGTTCAGGTTCGGTGTGGATTTGAATAGCTCCCGGACAAACTCGATCGGCCTGTCGAGAGGAAGAGCTTCATTGGTGCCGTATCTTATTAAAACAATTACTTAATACACCTGCAGCAATATCACAATTATTTTACACGCCTGAAACAATAACAACAATCATTCTACACACCTGAAATAATAACAACAATCACTCTACACACCTGAAACAATAACAACAATCACTCTACACACCTGAAACAATAACAACAATCACTCTACACACCTGAAACAATAACAACAATCACTCTACACACCTGAAACAATAACAACAATCACTCTACACACCTGAAGTCAGAGTCCAAGGCGTCAACAGCAGACTCCAAGGTAAGCATTAGCTCCGTGACGTAGCCCTGCATGTCCTCCCCTTGCTCGGCCACCGTTTCCACTAACCGTCCCAGAAGGTCGCTCAGCATGCGAGACGACATAGATACGTGTAACGACCTGAACACCTGCGATAGTTAACGAGTAAAGGAATGCATTAATATGGCGTGGTTTTGTTAGTTGTGAAACCCCCATCTAATGAACTATATAGAGATGAAAGTCCATTATATCGAGGGTCTGTTAGATGTGAAACCCCTTAACCAACAGATTACACGGAGAGAGGAGTTCGTTATACGGCGGTTTCACTGCATCAACGACCTTCGAAGAAATATAAACAGAAATAATAAACAAACCCCAGACTAAACACTGGAGCTCACCTGAAGGGAGCGGCCGGCATAGTGTCTGGAGGAACAGGAGAGCGCTAAGTGGAGTGCGATCTGGGCCCAGCGCTCCTCGATGTGGGTGTGAGGCAGAGAGTGACTGAACACCTAGAGGCAGTGAGACACACGAGGATAAGTGAACAATGTTATGGTGGGGGAATAAAGGAATAATTAACGTCGCTTCACCGAACAAGAGAAGGTAATCCGTGATGTATATGCAACAGAAACAATAATCTAACCTGCCCTCACCTAAATCAAGCTAAATTAACCTCATGTAAAATATTCTACTATAACCTAACCTAACCAATTCTAATATAACCTCACCTAATCTAACCTAACATAATATCACCTAAAAGAAGCAAACTTAACCTAACCTTACCTAAACTTAACCTAACCTAACCTAACCTTAACCTAACCTAACCTTAACCTAATCTAACCTACCCTAACAATACCCAACCATCCAACAGTAACATCAGGGTGTTTAACGACCAATTAACTTAACACGACAGAGCGAGCAAGACTACTACTCACCGTGACAACATGTCGTACAAAGTTGGCGAGCTGTTCGGCGCTCCGGATCGAGAACTGTTTCGATGTGATGTCCTCGTAGGGCCACAGAGGCTGGTTCTTACTGCGGTCACAAGAGGTAGAGTATAATATAAACTCAGGTCAAAAGGTCTCCCCCTCCCAACACCACGCACTCACACCAGATGACAAGAAACACACTCGCACCAGATGACAAGAAACACACTAGCACCAGATGACAAGAAACACACTAGCAAGAAACACAGCACCAGATGACAAGAAACACACTAGCACCAGATGACAAGAAACACACTAGCACCAGATGACAAGAAACACACTCGCACCAGATGACAAGAAACACACTGGCACAAGCACACACTAGATGACAAGAAACACACTAGCACCAGATGACAAGAAACACACTAGCACCAGATGACAAGAAACACACTAGCACCAGATGACAAGAAACACACTAGCACCAGATGACAAGAAACACACTAGCACCAGATGACAAGAAACACACTCAGCACACCAGATGACAAGAAACACACTAGTAGCACAGATGACAAGAAACACACTAGCACCAGATGACAAGAAACACACTAGCACCAGATGACAAGAAACACACTAGCACCAGATGACAAGAAACACATCGGCACAAGATGACAAGAAACACACTAGCACCAGATGACAAGAAAACACACTAGCACCAGATGACAAGAAACACACTAGCACTAGATGACAAGAAACACACTAGCACTAGATGACAAGAAACACACTAGCACTAGATGGCAAGAAATACACTAGCACCAGATGATTAAGAAACACACACTGGCACCAGATGACAAGAAACACACTAGCACCAGATGACAAGAAACACACTAGCACTGATGACAAGAAACATACTAGCACAAGACATGACAAGAAACACACTAGCACCAGATGACAGCAACACACTCTAGCACCAGATGACAAGAAACACACTAGCACCAGATGACAAGAAACACACTCGCACCAGATGACAAGAAACACACTAGCACCAGATGACAAGAAACACACTAGCACAAGATAACAAGAAACACACTCGCACCAGATGACAAGAAACACACTGGCACAAGATGACAAGAAACACACACTAGCACCAGATGACAAGAAACACACTAGCACCAGATGACAGTCAGGGTAAGTCAGCTACGAAAATATCATCACTTAGAGCATATAAATGAGTCACTCAGCCTATGAAAATAAATTATACAGTACAATATTATATGGAACTGTTCTTAGTAATTACAATGATAAGAATATTCTCTCTCTATATGATGCCAAATGTACTTTATTCTATTGCTCTCTCTCTCCCTCTCTCCCTTTCTCACCCTCTTATTCTACCTCCTCTCTCTCTTTCCCTTTATCACCCTCTCTCTATTCCTCTTTCTCTCTCTCTCTCTTTCCCTTTATCACCCTCTCTCTCTCCCTCTTTTTCTCTCCCCTTCTCACCATCTTATTCTACCTCCTCTCTCTCTCATTCCCTTTATCACCCTCTCTCAATTCCTCTTTTTCTCTCCCTCTCTCTCTCTCTTTCCCTTCATCACCCTCTCTCTACTCCTCCCTTTCTCACCCTCTCATTCTGTCCCTCTCTCTCCTCTCCCCCTTACCCTCACCTGGAAACAATAAAGTCTATAAGAGCCATAATGCTATACTGCAGATCATCCTGGGGCACGTGTTCTGGCCCAGTGGCCGAGGAGCCAGAAACCGTGTCAGCATTGTCATCCGAGGTGATTATGACGGGATTGGTAACGCTGTCGTCCGTCAACCCGGCCGGCGCCCCCACGTCACTTGTCGGTTCGGGCGGGTTCTCGAAGCCCGGCGGAGCGGCGACTATCGGTGGCGTGGGATCGCTTGGGGGCTCCTCTGTGGGTGTGGAGATATTAGTCGGGAATTACGGAGAGTGTTGGTATGTATTCGTTTGTCTGTCTCTAAGGTAATACTATTTTTTAACACTACAGTATTTTTAGTTCATAAGAATATTGATAAGTGAGAAGACTGGTGTAAAGAAACAAACAAACACACATACACAGAGTTATGTAGGTATAATATGCAATCAAAACACACACACACACACACACACACACACACACACACACACACAATACTCCTCAACTTGACCTTGGTTCCTTCCTCAAGAATCCTTCCCTGGTTCTATATAAGTTAGGGTTGTTAAGTGAAGGCAAGTTTAATACTATACCCTTCCCACAGTAACCTGGCCCATGCCCCTCATCTATACTTATACCTGATTGGTTCATTTAAATCTCAACTATGTTCACAGTTGGTAAGCAGATCTGTTAACATCTTAAATAATGTTAAATATATGAACTGACAAAATGCAAATGATTTCAAGACATTAACACTTCAGAGAGGATGTTAGAAATTTTTTAATATTTATCATAAAACGTCGATATAAATATGCACTTATACACGTGCAGTTCGGGAGGAGGTAAACAATCAGGGGGACCAATCAACTATGGGCTAATCAAAATAAACTATGGGCTAATCAGCAGGTAAAATAAAACTAGGGGCTAATCAGCAGGTAATCTCGCCAATATAAACATCATCACTAACCCCACACTACCACCCCCACCCCCCAATGGGAAAAAACCAAACAATAACGTACGACTTCCGAGCATCGTCTCACCGGTAAAGTTCTTGTTGTGAGTAAAAATGTTGTTGGGTATTAGGCCGTAACCTAGCAGCGTGGTCTTGTTGTTGAGGAGGACCCGAGCCACGCCGAGGTGGTCGCGATGGTCAGCTACGACGGTCAGCAAGTGAACCAGCAGCGTCTTGCCTGAGTGCGACCAAACAACAAATATGGATTAGGATAAAATACATACATACATACATACATACATACATACATACATACATACATACATACATACATACATAGATAGATGCAATTATTCCTCCATGACCTCAAATATTCTGTTAAACTCAAGGCTAATATTTATCTTCCATCTCTTAGGTTATTATGTGACCAAAATATATCACAACTATGACCTGCGAATAACTCTCGATAAAGGTTGATTGATTGATTGGCTTATTGATTGATTGGTTGATTGGCTAATTGATTGATTCATTAGTTGATTGATTGTGGTAATTACATCCCTGGTGACTCACAGCGTAGGGTCCTATGCCCCAAACTAAACAAAGAGCTCGGAAGGCTAAAAACAAAAGAACGCACAAATAAAAAAAATAAACAAATTCTCGATAAAGACAAGAGATCAACACAATGAGACGGTCGTTACAGCGAGACCTCTATCTAACGAGCACGATGGAGAGAAAAGTCCATTATTTTGAGGCTCCTTTAAAGGTGAAACCCCCATTTAATGAACTATATCAGGTGCTGAGTGTAACAATAGGCCAAGCGCTTCCCCCCCCCCCCGACCTTTCCTCCTCCTGCAGAAAAACAAACTGTGCGGGTAATGTGATATTTGTAAGGTTGAGAGCCATACTAGTGAAGGTGGGTAAAAGCACCTCTACAGCACCTCGAGGTAGAGTGACGGGGAGAGGGAAATAAGCGCCCGCGGCCACTGATCGTAGCGACTCGTTATATTCCACTTTCTCAGCCAATGGGAGTACAGTAGCTAAAACAACTATCCGTGCATACTTTGTGGGAAATGATACGAGACCATGGACGATATATTTTGGTATCTATATGAGGGCTGTCACTAGTCACACATAAAATTTCGGAGCATATCGACCCCCCACACCTGCACAGATAGTTGTTTTAGCCACTGTACATGTGTCTACAAAAATGTCGTAGGAATGGTACGTAATAACACTTGGGAATTTTTTATTTTTTCCCAATTGGCAGAAAGGAGGGAGTCAGTCAGGGCCATTGGGTGAAAAATAAACAAAACAGAGAGGAGGGTGGGCGAGGGGGTGGGCGAGGGGGGTGGGTGAGGGGGGTGGGCCAGAGGGGTGGGGGTGATGGCAAGTGGTGTGTGATGTTCCAGTCCGAGTGACGAGTCTCATCGCACCAATAGGGGTTTAACAGGGAGGACGAGGAGGCAGCTGGGAGTGATGATGATCAGTAATATTATTAATACAAGTCTTTGTTTATTGTAATTTTTGTGACATTACCGAGACTTAAGTACCTGTATTTTTTGGCCCCCGGTCGAAATATTGGCCGAGTATTGTTTACTTCTATACAAACAGCAATGACCTTTTTCAGTTTCTGGTGTGGTCTTAATACCTCGAGAATGTCTATTAATGAAACTGTAAACATCATAAACAATATTTACTGTAAACAATCTTTTCAACTTTAGTATCTGCCTTAACAGCTCTACCCACTGCCACTTGAATGAACTCAGTATCTCCATTGGGTCAAAAGTTACATCATTTTTAATTTTCTCAACTTTAAGAGCGTTTTTCTCCATTGTGATTTTTGCCGCTTGGTCCCTTGTCGCACTTAGAGCCTGATACAGAGATGAAAGTCCATTATATCGAGGGTCCGTTAGATATAAAACCTCCATCTAATGAACTATATAGAGATGAAAGTCCATTATATCGAGGGTCCGTTAGATATAAAACCTCCATCTAACGAACTATATAGAGATGAAAGTCCGTTATATGTAGGTTTCACTGTATGTAAGTTAATCACTATACGTACAGTGTAGGTGGACGAGTGGCCGGGAGTGATCAAGACCCAAGGTAATAATGTGCAGCATGAGAGGCACGTGGATCGACCAGTCCACACTGTGACAGTCGACGTCTATGCCCGCCACGATCACGTCACAGATTAACATCACCGCCAGATTGCACCTGAGAAAAAAAAAAGGCCGCCAGGTTAGGTTAGGTTGGGTCAGGTTAAACTAGGCTTAGGTTAGGTTGGGTCAGGTTAAACTAAGGTTAGGTTTAAACTCACAAAAAACGTCTACTACTGCATCTCCACACATCCAAATACGTACAACATAACATCCTCGCCTGGGAAAAACAATTAACCCCACAATTACACACCACCTCACCTGTGAAATGCAGTGATGGGTTGAGAACTATCAGGTAAGTACTCCGTCAGCGGTGCGAAGTAGCCCCCGTACTCTGGCATGGGTAGCGGGTGCGGCTGCGGAGGTTCGTAACGCTCGCTGGTGTCGTCTATTCCCGTCGCCGCACTCCCCCCCGCCGCTGTTACCCCACCACTGGTGTTGTTGTTCTGGGCTCGTAAGATGGCAAAATTATCCTCTTGGGGTATACCAGCCTGGAAGTATAAATATTTGAATAAATCGATAACTCACGCACTAAATAATAGGAAATCTTACAGAGTCGAAGGCCACAACAACCTGATATTAATATAGTCACTGGCAGACCACTCTCACACTACAGAATGGCCCCCAAATTCACGGATTTTTACTTGTGGTTCTCTGTTATTCGCGGATGACACCCTGGATGTAGCCAAGAATATCTGTGGGTAGTTTTAAAGTTGCCGGCATTTTGGCTGGGACAGAGAGCCATTTGTTCTAGAGAGAGAAATTCCCTTTACCTGTATTGTAAATATGTGTGTGTGTGTGTGTGTGTGTGTGTGTGTGTGTTTAGATACACACACACACACACAAAACACATACAAATTTATTAAAAATGTGAGTCTACCCTCTAGTTTGAGCTCTATTAATAAATACCGTACTGTAATAGAGCTGTACTATAATTCCCATACAGTGAAAGCTCTATTAAGCGGACTGTACAGAGATGAAAATCCATTACATCGAGGGTCCGTTATATATGGAACCCCCATCTAATGAACTACCTGTATATGGTGAGAGAAGTCCGTCATGCAGAGGTCTTGCCATAATACAAAACCCCAAACATATGAATGAGAGAGAGAGAGAGAGAGAGAGATATGTTTCCTGATAGGAGATATAAGCACTGTTGGCGGCACACGTGTAATCAGCTTAACGCTCTAGTGGTCTTTTATTTCCCCCCTTCCCAACACTACACACATTGGCCCTGACACAATATAGAACAGTTATCCCATAAAAATCCTAAAATCTCTGACAAAAGAATGTTTATTCCCTAGAAAATCCCCTAAATGTGGTAGTGAAACATTTAACCCCTAAAATAATCCCTAAAGTCTGTGCTAATAAAGACAATTATCCCTAAAAACCCTAAAATCTTTGATAACAGAACATTTAACCCCTAAAGTCTGTGCTAATAAAGACAATTATCCCTAAAAACCCTAAAATCTTTGATAACAGAACATTTAACCCCTAAAGTCTGTGATACTCACCTCGACAGGGTTTGGATTCAGGTCCTCCTGCATATTAGACGACAAGGAATTGGGCGCCAGCGAGGAGTTGGGTCGAGACTTGATATTGATGGCCGTGGTCGCTGCCGTCGAGGCGGCCGCCGAACTGTCCACGGCAATTACGCTCGACACCCCGGACCCCACACTGGACACGCTGCGTAGCGACCCGGGGGCGCTGCGCTGTTCCCTCGACACACTGACCGCCCAAACAAACAAACACCAACGCTTATATAGACATACTGTATATCGTACACCTCTACTTATATAATTAATTACATAAAAAATCTATCTATTTATATAATTTAAGACAAAAACAGAGAAGTGAAGAACAACTAATTATGATCCTGTGTTAATAATCAGGATCCATTTGGGTACTAATTTTGTGATCCATTTGTCTAATAATTAATTGTGATTGTCCAAATAATTATGATCCCTGGTGTAAATAATTAATTAAGGATAGATTATGACGCGACGACACTTTGATATTAATGTAAACAAAGACAGACTGTAGTGTAACCTCTATTTAACGGACTATATAGAGAGGAAAGTCCATTATATCGAGGGTCTGATAGCTGTGAAACCTCCATCTAATGAACTATATAGAGAGGAAAGTCCATTATATCAAGACTCCAATACAAAAAAAAACACATCTAACAAACATTATTGACATGAAAGTTCGTTATATCGAGGGCACGTTAGATGTAAAACCCCCATATAACGGATTATGAGGAGGTTTCACTACATCAAGATCTCCACGGGAACAAGATGACTAATTCACGTACAGAGGCGAATATCTTTCCCTGGGGAGGTCGTGGTGATCCCCCGAGTGTCTCTTGGTGTGTATTGTTCCGCGTTCTGAGGGCGTCTGTTCCTGGGGCGCTCCACTACCCCCGACGCCTCCGCCCTCGCCGTGTGATGACGTCTTCCTCATCGATGTCAGTCTGGGGGAGAGAGAAACAGATTAATTACTGTATAATGTTATGGTTAGGGAGTGGGCAGGCAGAACCTACCTGAAGAAGGGAAGTTTATTTACAGTTACCTGAAGAAGGAGGAAGACTCTCTACACCCACCTGAAGAAGGGAGGAGTCTCAGTGCGCTCTATGACACAGTTGAGAGTCTCCACTGTGCCCATCTCGGCCATAAGTTCCTCCACCAGGCGGTCTGGCCGGGCTCGACCCACGTACACGATGACCCTCTTGGCCTGGGAGGAAGGGAGGTCAGTAAAGTTATCACATGAACATTAGACACCCTGGCTTATTTCACCTGATGATGTGATAAATATAACAATGATAACTTAACCTAATATAAAGTAACTTAACCTAACTGACCCTACCCTCCCCTACCCTCCCCTCCCCTACACTCCCCCCACTCCCCTCCCCTACCCCCACCCACCCCTACCCTACCCTACCCAGACACAGGTCATAAATAACACTCACATAAGGCAGCAACTCGGTGGCGGCCATACCGGTAATGATGAACAGGTAACGGATAATAACTTTAAGGTTATTAGGCCAACAGGTACACAGTGCGGCCCACAGTTCCTCCACTTCTTTGGGGTGATCTTCTCCTAGCTGGTGAGAGAGAGAGTGAGTGTGAGAGAGAGAGGGTAGGTGGTCCTTTCCTAGCTGGTGAGAGAGAGAGAGAGAGAGAGAGAGTGGAGGTGGTCCTTTCCTAGCTGGAGAGAGAAGAGAGAGAGAGAGAGATGTGAGAGGAGTGTAGGTGGTCCTTCCTAGCTGGTGAGAGAGAGTGAGAGAGGGTAGGTGGTCCTTTTCTATGGAGAGAGAGAGAGAGATGTGAGAGAGAGGGTAGGTGGTCCTTTCCTAGCTGGTGAGAAAGAGAGAGAGAGTCAAACCCTATCAAAGTCTCCCTCAATAATTGATTCCGACCACATTTTTATACAGAGATAAAAAATGAGACAGAAGGAGAAGGAAGGAAGAGAAGGAAGGAAGAGAAGAGGAGATAGGGAAGGAGAGGAGGCAGGGAAGGATAAAGATAAAAGAAAGAATGAAAGAAAGAGGAGAATGATAAACAAAGAGAAAGGTTAAAAAAAACACCTAATAAAAACGAAAATAAACAAACACAAAAAATAAAATTCAATAAAATCATCATCTCTAAACAAACACAGGAGCAGTTAACACGGTAAATAAAACAGGTGAGAGGTCAAGTGGGAGGTCAAGTGGGAGGTCAAGTGGGAGGTCAAGTGAGAGGTCAAGTGAGAGGTCAAGTGAGACAAACCTCCTACCTTGGCAGTAATGTAGAAGAGGTTATTGAGTACCATCTCCGTGGCCTCCGCTGACCCCATCTCGCGGCGGAGATCTGACCCCCGGCCATTGTCTCCGTAGTACTGTAGTGAAGAAACATTTAAACAATGATGTGATGTTGTTTCTGTAATAAATTGTATTATATTGTGTCCCACGTCCAGAGTAAGACATTGTCCCACGTCCAGAGTAAGACATTGTCCCACGTCTACAGTACAGTGCCTAAAAGAGAGCTCAGGTTCTCAGTCATGTTAATATTGTTATTATCCACTCTGTATCTGTGTTTTACCGCTAAATAAACTGTTTCAATTCAATACCTGGCAGGAGCGGAGGCAGGAGGCGGAGTACTAGGGTCTACCAGCTCCATGTTGTAGAGCCACGGCAACAGGTAGTGGAGCAACAACTGGCGGGCAGCACAAGGGCGGTCTGTAGCCTGTAACTGATCTCTGTAACGTCAAAGATACAGCATTAGTCTCTCTGTAACAGCAAGAAGACAGCATTAGTCTCTCTGTAACAGCAAGGATACAGCATTAGTCTCTCTGTAACAGCAAGAAGACAGCGATTTTCCGGCTAACAGAGATACAGGTACAGTACTGTATTATCCTCCCTTTAAGTCTTGAGAATACAGTAACACCCTTCCTGTAACATAACTGATATAATCTTAATAATTTATAATACACTCCAGAAATATATTATTACTATAATCTGTCAATAACTGTAAAACAAATACAAAGAATTATCTAAAATGTGGAATTATCACACAAATAAGTGGAATTATCACACAAATAAGAGGAATTATCACACAAATAAGTGGAATTATCACACAAATAAGTGGAATTATCACACAAATAAGTGGAATTATCACACAAATAAGTGGAATTATCACACAATAAGTGGAATTGTCACACAAATAAGTGGAATTATCACAGAATTATCCCCACAAAGATCTATCGGGTCTCAAACCAAGATGAAGAGACACAAATGGCTCAAGAGTGTGTGTGTGTGTGTGTGTGTGTGTGTGTGTGTGTGCTAGTATTACACAGACACACACACACACACACCAACCCTACCCTCACCACCCCTCTCACCACCACCCCTCTCACCACCCTACCCTCACCCCCCTCTCTTCCCCTCTTAGTTCCTGTCTTAACAACATCCTTCCCACATTTAAAATTTTATCTCCTCACTGCTAATCCCCTTCCCTCTCACCTGTACTCTCGAGAGCTAATTATTTCTCTTAGTGTCCAGGTGAGTGCAGACCCTTCCCTCTGGTGTGTGTGTGTGTGTGTGTGTGTGTGTGAGAACTTGCATCATTGTGTAATTGATAACTCTTCTTTAACTGGCACTGGCACCATTCCCTACCTGGCACCATTCCCTACCAGACACCATTACCTAACTGGCACTCTTCCCTACGGTTCATACTCGAGGGTTGGTAGTGTGGCACTTATAAGGCACAAATATGGAGGATTATGTCAAGTGCCACATCACCACAGGAGTATTGGCACTGAGGTCTACTCCAGTGCCATCTTTGAGGAGCATAGAGGTGATTCAATCTTGTTCCTCACCAATCCACCACCTACTCCTGCTCCTCCTTCACTCCTACCTGAGAACATGGGCATGGTGAGCTCTGGGTGGAGGAGGGCCAGCTGCTTGGAGAGGTACAGCTGGGAACGGGAGTAGGTCGACGATAACAGCACGTCCAGGGTAGATGACTCTCTCTGTAACAACAACAAAGGTAAACACACGTCACTCACGCTCACTGTACACGTCATTATGTCATCATTGTACACGTCACCACATACGTCATTATACACGAATTAATCCTTAAAAACACTGAAATAATAATTTTATTATTATTTACCCAACACACAGTACCACAACACCACACACCCAGCCTACAGTACCACAACACACACCCAGCCTACAGTACCACAACACCACACACCCAGCCTACACCACACCCAGCCTACACTACACACCCAGCCTACAGTACCACAACACCACACACCCAGCCTACACTACACCCAGCCTACAGTGCCACAACACCACACACCCAGCCTACACTACACCCAGCCTACAGTACCACAACACCCACACACCCAGCCTACACTACACCCACCTGTACCACAACACCACACCCAGCCACACTACACCCAGCCTACAGTACCACAACACCACACACCCAGCCTAAGTACCACAACACCACACACCCAGCCTACACTACACCCAGCCTACAGTACCACAACACCACACACCCAGCCTACAGTACCACACACCCAGCCTACAGCACCACAACACCACACACCCAGCCTACACTACACCCAGCCTACAGTACCACAACACCACACACCCACACTACACCCAGCCCACAGTACCACAACACCACACACCCAGCCTACACTACACCCAGCCTACAGTACCACAACACCACACACCCAGCCCACACTACACCCAGCCTACAGTACCACAACACCACACACCCAGCCTACACTACACCCAGCCTACAGTACCACAACACCACACACCCAGCCTACACTACACCCAGCCTACAGTGCACCACAACACCACCACACCCAGCCTACACTACACCCAGCCTACAGTACCACAACACCACACACCCAGCCTACACTACACCCAGCCTACAGTACCACAACACACACACACCCAGCCTACACTACACCCAGCCTACAGTACCACAACACCACACACCCAGCCTACACCACACCCAGCCTACACTACACCCAGCCTACAGTACCACAACACCACACACCCAGCCTCACACTACACCCAGCCTACAGTACCACAACACCACACACACCCAGCCTACACACACCCAGCCACAGACACCACAACACCACACACCCAGCCTACACTACACCCAGCCTACAGTACCACAACACCACACCCAGCCTACACACACCCAGCCTACAGTACCACAACACCACACCCAGCCCACACTACACCCAGCCCACAGTACCACAACACACCACACCCAGCCTACAGTACCACAACACCACACACCCAGCCTACACTACACCCAGCCCACAGCACCACACAACACCACACACCCAGCCTACAGTGCCACACCCACACCCAGCCTACAGTACCACAACACCACACCCAGCCTACACTACACCCAGCCTACAGTACCACAACACCACACACCCAGCCTACACTACACCCAGCCTACAGTACCACAACACCACACACCCAGCCTACACTACACCCAGCCTACACACACCCAGCCTACAGCCCACACACCCACACACCCAGCCTACACTACACCCAGCCTACAGTACCACAACACCACACCCAGCCCACACTACACCCAGCCCACAGTACCACAACACCACACACCCAGCCTACACCACACCCAGCCTACAGTGCACCACAACACCACACACCCAGCCTACAGTCCACAACACCACACACCCAGCCCACACACACCCAGCCTACAGACCACAACACCACACACACCCAGCCACAGTACCACAACACCACACACCCAGCCTACACTACACCCAGCCTACAGTACCACAACACCACACACCCAGCCTACACTACACCCAGCCTACAGTACCACAACACCACACACCCACTACACTACACCCAGCCTACAGACCACAACACCACACACCCAGCCTACAGCAACACAACACCACACACCCAGCCCACACTACACCCAGCCTACAGTCACCACAACACCACACACCCAGCCTACACTACACCCAGCCTACAGTACCACAACACACACACACCCAGCCTACACTACACCCAGCCTACAGTACCACAACACCACACACCCAGCCTACACTACACCCAGCCTACAGTACCACAACACCACACACCAGCCCACTCACACCCAGCCTACAGTACCACAACACCACACACCCAGCCTACACTACACCCAGCCTACAGTACCACAACACCACACACCCAGCCTACACTACACCCAGCCTACAGTACCACAACACCACACACAGCCTACACTACACAGCCTACAGTACCCACAACACCACACACCCAGCCTACACTACACCCAGCCACAGTACCACAACACCACACACAGCCACCACTACACCCAGTACCACAACACCACACACCCAGCCTACACTACACCCAGCCTACAGTACCACAACACCACACACCCAGCCACACACCAGCCACACTACACCCAGCCCACAGTACCCACCCACACCAGCCCACACTACACCCAGCCTACAGTACCACAACACCACACACCCAGCCTACACACACAGCCACAGTACCACAACACCCACACCCAGCCTACAGTACACAACACCACACACCCAGCCCACCACAGTACCACAACACCACA